TAAAAGGTAGGATACATGAGGGGTTTTTCCCCATAATAGTTTACCTAGGCATACAGTTAGCTTCAGGAGTGAACTGTTTTGTTGTAAGCTCAGGAATGTTAAGAAACATATTTATGGTACATATTCCTCTGGACTAATTACAGGTCCTAGTTGCAGACATTTTGTCATCGTAGAAATCATAGTAACTTTTCAATATGTAATCTCCCTATATGATAAGAACCACTGAAGTCAATACAAATCCAGTGGAACTAGCACTTTCACACTGACTCTACTTGGAGTGCTAGCTTTATTTGTGATAATGACAATATGAATGAACATGGGTAGATCAAGGGTTTTTAAAACGCCCACCCTCCCCCTCTCTAACTGGGGCAGGCAGCCCCCACAGCTAGGTTTTTTTTAAGTCCCTGAATCAGGTAAGAATCTCCCCACCCTCACCCACCCAACCCCTCTTGGCATCCCATCCCTTCCCCTTCGTGTTCAGTGGCATCTGCCCATTTGCCCCCCCTTGTCCTCCTCTTACAGGAATGAGAGACCCAACCACCACCACCACTGCTCTCTCAACCACTCCTGTCCTGCTCCAGCCTGGGCTGTAGGGAATGGCTGCAAGTGGGTTCTGGGCTCAGCCAGTGACAGCAGCAATGGTAGGCAGTTTCCCCTTCACTGTACCTGCTCCTGTGCTGGTGGGGAATACCTAGGGGGACCAGGCAGGGAGAAGGAGTCTGCCCATTGCCACTGCTATCCCTGGCTGAGCCCAGCTCCCTTCACAGGCTGTCTACAGTGGAGCAGCTCTGGAGCTCCCACTGCCTCCGGAGCAGCCAGGGACAGTAGCAGGGGTGGGCGAGGGGAGGGGTTATGCTTCGCAGCAGGGAGGGGTAAGGAATTCTGAGAGGGAGTTCTTACCTGCTTCAATGATTTAAAGAGTCCTGTTGCTGTTCCTGTAGCATGATCCAAAAGTGGGGTGTAATTATGCCATTGTACCTACTCCAGATCCTCCCCCAACCCCCACCCCCTCACCCAGCCTGCTCCATGATTGAAAGTAGGCAAAGTATTGAAACACATACAAGAACAAGACAGGTAAGCATAACAGGAAATCAGAAACCCATGTGAGATAAAGCAGCTCTTTGGGGTCTAATTTTAGGCCTACACATTTTAGACTTCATTCTTTGAGGCGAGTATTGTGGCTGAGCAGCTATTAACTATAAGAAGCCTATACTAAGAGGAGTTAAGATGGGTATTATAACTTATTAACAGCAGATGTGGACCTTGTGATCTGATAGGATTTGGTCAGTCATATAACAAGTCACAGGCATATTCTACATCTTTGATTATTCCTCTCTGCCTCTGTGGTGATGGGATTATGCTCATTTTGCTCCAGTATTTTAAACTGCTTCTAATTGCTAATTCCTTCCCTATTTTTTGCTCATTTTTAAATTCTTTACCATGCTTGGTGAAAATTTCTTTAAAGTAATGGTAGTAATAAAGGCTGATGGCACCTTTATTTAATGAAGCTATTTTGTGAATATGTGTTAAGCTTTCTTTCTTTCATTCTGCCAAGAGCACAGCATCTGTGATGGTTACAGTGTAGTTTAAAGGATTCATTTTAGTGACAGAGACCAATTCTGCCCCTGAATACACAAAATGCATCTTCATTCAAATTCTTTGGAACACAAGTATGTGTGTGACGAAAGAAATCACCTGACCTCAAAGTGCTGAGTGTTAGGTTCAGTCTTCCGGACTGTGCCCCAGTTTCTCTCTCCTACTTCTCTCCTGTTCTGAGGGGAGAGAGTATTTTTTACAGTTCTTTTCAAGGTATAACAAGTTTATAGTTGTTATTTAAACAAATGTTCTCACATATGTATTGTAGTATTTACCCTGTTCTAATAATATAACAATAGCACTTATAACAAGTTCTCAAAGTGCTTTCCAAATGCTAATTACAGTAAATCTTAGAAAGGTAGATAAAAGATCTATAGGAATCATTTTATCCAAGACTGAAACACAGCTATGTCTGGAGGAAATAGTATTAACATTTTAATGCTGAAAAGCTTCACTGCATAATAGTTTAAAGCACTTATACTATATCAAACTGAGACTCCAGGTAGAATTCAAGGAACCAAAATGTAATTAGATAAATTGGAATATGTCCAGGGTATCAGGCTTCAACAGACTTACCTCACAAATGTACTATAAAAACTTGAGTGAAGATACAAAGGGTTAGGTTCTCAGTTTACATTTAATCCAAGAGAAGGTACCTCCATGCAGCATACTACACTCTAATACCATATTGAGACTTTGATTCAGTAGAGACTTGAGATCAGGTGAAAGCCCCCTACTGACACTCATGTCAAAATGACTGCCAGAATGAACAAGTTTCATGCCATTTTTGTCTTATCTATTTAAGAGAAAAGAAGGGAGAAGGGAGGAGCACTAAAATTCCAAACACTGTCAACTAAAAACATATACAGAGAAAAATATTATTTTCCCGAAGGAACTTTTATATTACCCATACTTCAGATTGCCCACACTAAAAGAATAGCCCTTTGGGAGATCAAAAGTTAAAAACATCATCAATTTTTAATAGGCAACCATCTTGATGTAAGCATTTTTAGTTTGCTGGGATGCATTAGAATGTGTTAAGATAAGCAACAGTTTAGTGGAGTCTATTTCAAGATCTCCCTGTAATATATGAAATATTATGAGACAGGATCTTTCCTCTCTCATTTTGAAGCCCTTTTCATGAGAAATCATTTTATCACTTATGGCATTACATGGTGGCAAACTTGGTTTTGTGTCACAAAAGTCGAGAATTAACAAGTGAACTTGACCTAGCCTTCTGCCCCGTCTCTGCTTCCTCCCTCCAGCTTTGCTTTCCTGTGCTTCTTTTCCTCAGAACCATTATGTTAAATGGGTTGAGGTACACAGGGTCTGTACTGTTCATCTTAGATTTAATCTGACACATTATGGGACCTCTGGCAAGAATATGTGTTAAGTAGGTCACAGTACTTCTAATGATTAGCATATTGGTAGTCCAAAGCACAGTATTGGGCGTAATGTGACAAACGCTTATCATAGAAAAAGGTATGTGTTTGTGGAGAGAAGGGATTTTTCTAGTATGAGATCTTATGACTAACCATAAGATTCTAGCTATTGCTGTATATATTTATTTTTGTTAAAGCCATTACCCCCCTCACGAAATGCTTTTAGCCCCCAGCTTAGCCTGAGGCCAGATCCATGGAAAGTAGCCTAAAGCTCATGATGAGTGTTCACTGACTTTTGTGGTCAGCATTTCTCAGGAGTAAATTGTAAAGAACATATGAGATGCACTTTAAGCTTCTGGCTGGAAGGCTGGGAAAGGACGTGGGAGAAATGGTACATCTTTTGCAAAATAAATAAATAAATAAATCCAAAATTATACCTCCAAATTATGGTTCACCTCTTCACAGTTGTGCGTGCTGCAAATACTAAATATTACATTTCATAGCAGGAAGTCAAATACAACTATCTCATGTGTTTTAAATAAAAAAAGAGGCATGTTCACTTGGAGAACAAGACTGATAATTCAACATGAATATCTCAGAGTTGAGAGAGATCATGGGAGCCTCTGGGTGAACCTAGAGATTTGGCACACGGGAAGTCTACAACAATCTTCTTGCTTGATTACCAGCAGGACATGCATTGCCTTTTTCCTACTGTCTCTATTCATTTTTCAACAACCTGCCACATGCAATATGCCAAATCTCATACAAAATATCCCCATTTGTGGAACTTGAACACATGCATACACACTCCCCTGTTACAAATCCATTCAGTTAAAAACTTCTGGTAGAGTCTGCATAGACATAATAAAATTACGAGGTAGAGTATTTGTTCAGTTTTACTTCTCGAAGCTATTTCTTAGACATTGGAATTTAGAAAATGCAGAGAAAAACTTTTTTAAGCTTGTGTTCATGATCTGCTTTAATAAGTACCTCATGAAAGTATTCAGAATTAAGTAGTTGCCTATGTTCACTTATATCTGGCAAATATGTGCAGAATCACAGGTAAATATTTATAACTTATCATGTGTGTCAGCAGCATAACACTAATATATGCTCTTGTAAAATATAAATCATATGTCAGGGGTGTAGGTTTTAGGATTTCTTGCATACATACTGGCCTCTGGCTGCTTTACTACTCCATCCTGGAAGAGCACAGACCAACTGCAGATGCTTCCTCTGCCTGACGAAGAGTACTTGTACCCGAAAGCTTGCAAAGAAGAATTCTTTCAACTTTTTGAGTTGGTCTTATAAAAGACTGGATTTACCCAAAAAACCTTGTCTGCCTATATAAATCATACACCACTTTGCCTGGCTTTGAACAGTCTGTGTATTGGAAATTAAGCAGAGTTTTGAAGTTTAGGTATCCTATTTCCAGGAATGCTTTTGGGTTGTCCTGTGGCGTCATCTTGGGGACCTTCAGTTCGATTTGGTTCCTCTGCGCCCAAGCCTGTTGCTATAGCCATTTTGCTTCTAAGGCAATCTGATGTGCTGCCTGTTGTTGCTGTTGTAGAAATTGACCCATTAGGTGTAATGTTTGTTGAAGGGGCTCAGCGCCTCCCATCATTCCTGGTGAGATATACATGTTTCTTCTCTTTGCTTAGGCCATCATCAAGTTCCTAGCCAGTGCACCACTTTGTCAGGGGTTTGCCTGATTGGGATTATGCATCTAGCTACTCTGTACTTTCCCTGTCCTCCCGGTGGGTCTTGTATGTTCACTTGCCTGGTTTCCACAGCAATGAGTCCCAACTCTCTCCTGCCATGTCTTGATGTTATTTGAAGTTACCGATTGAGAGGTGTTCTCTTAATACCACAGCTGGCTAACCATGAACCCACTAAGGCTCTCTTTTGGGGATCCAACCTCCCCTACACTCCATCCTAGAACCACCCAGATGGTATGCATCACCATGTATACTAGCTGGTCTTCCTGGGCATGTTGTTTTAATTTTTTCTTTTCTCTTAAAGGTTTGTCACCTCCCACTTCGACGGAAAGGAATGACACAAACTACCAGACTTTCTTTCAGTCTCAGGTAAGTCTCATGTGAGTTTGGGTACATCCCAGTCTTCTCTCTCACTTAGAGGGTGGTCCCAGGCCCATCCTTGGGAACCCTTGTGTCTATAAAAGAAAAAACAAAACAAATAAAAACTCTGTTCGATCTCTTGCTCCTTTCTTTTACTGGGTCCATGACCCGCCTGGTCATTTTCCCTCTATCTTTTCTTCTTTTCTTTTCTTTGGGGAGTGGGAGAGAGGGCTTCTAGCCAGCTGACCCACTTTCCCCTTCCACCCTATTGGGGCTGACAATAAAATAGTTAAAAAAGCAAACTAACTTGCAACTTAACTTTAAAGATGGAATCAGCCACTTGTCCTGGGGCCGATCCGTTTCCAAGAGAGCTCGCCACCCCCACCTCCTGCACCATTTTTTTTTCCTGAGGCATTCTTCCTGCCAAGGTTTTCCAGCCATGCTGAGCTCCCAGAGCTCTATTGCTGACTTTTTGTCGGCTTTTCGGGGGTGGGATCATCACACCTGATGCCTTGCGCCCCAGGACTCAACTCCCCTCTCCCTCACTCCACTTCCACTCTTTTGCTTTCTCTTCTCCCCTGGGGCTGCTCTAGCTGCACGGAGCAGCTGCTCTGAAACCATGGCACCCAGGGTGCTCCCTGTTCACTTGCTCCAGCCGTCTCTCCCCTCGCTGCATCCACACTACCAGCCATGAGTCCCTTCTTGTTTTGCTTGTCTCCTTCACACTCGCATTGCTTCATTTTTGGGACTTATCACCTGTCAGGTGGTTATGGGAATGGCAGGGCATACTTCTTGTTTGCACTCTTGGGCACTGCATAGAAGTGGTATAGAGAAGCCTAGTACTACTCATCTTTTAATACCAGTTCAATAAAGCTCTAATTTCATCTAACCAGGACTTCCCACAAAAGTGAAATTCTTTACCTGAAGCCAAGTATCACTCAGATGTGTGAAATTCCTTTGTGCTTCCAAAAGCATCAAATAAAGCTAGAGATTGTTTTTAGTTTGAACCTTATAGCTTCCCTACTAGTCAGTCAAACTGAGAAGCAAGCACACCAGAAACAGGAAGTGAATATAAAATTCTTATATGAAATAGGCAAGGGCTTAATTTCATTGGTCCTAGACATCTGCAGAGAAGAATAAGATCCCATCCTATTTCATTGACACTTGTGTAAGATCCTTACAATATGTAATTCTTGGCTCTGGGGAGGGCTGGAAGAGCAGAGGCTTCCCACCTACTACTCGGGGACAAAAGGTTAGGGAGGTGGTGAAAAGAGGCAGTTTGGAGTAGGAGCCTTGGGTCCTTCTTCTATGCAGTACAGTTGAATTATCTGACAGTAGTGTGGAAGGAAGAGAGGACTGATAGGGAGAAGAGGAGTAATTGTGCTATTTCATATTTACATATACACCAAAGTCTCCATTTAACCATATATGACCTGGTACAACTGAAGTTGGGATTACTGCAATTTTATATTATTTTGGAATGACCCTTATTGAAGGTTATCTAGTCCAACCCCCTCCCTGAGGCAGTATCATCCCTATCCAAACCATCCCATATAAATCCTTGTCTAACCTATTAGTAAAACTACACAAATCAACTCTGTCCTACAACTCCAAGGCATTGCGTCCTAACCTGCCACAGGTCAAGCAGCAGGACAATGGTGATCAGTGTTTGACTGCTGCAGTGCTCTTAAAATATGCTTGAGAGATTGAAAGCAGAGGGATACATCCCCGCTACAGAGGAAGGCAAAAGGGCCACAGTCTGTAGCAATCTGACCATGGAGTAAAATTCCTTCCTGACCCCCGATGTGGCAATCAGTCTAACTCTGAGTAGGAACCCTCTAACCAGGAACCACCCAGTTTTTATCCCCAGCAGGAGCATTGGAACATGCTAGTCAATGGACTCCAGTCTTGGATTCAGCCAACACTGAATACTTCTGAAGAAGGCAAAGCCCCTGCTCCCCCCCCCCCAACAAACAAACAAACAAAAAAACAAAAATTGTGATGTGTAGCAACAGGTGGGGGGAAATTTTCTTCATGGTCTTATGCAACAATCAACAAACTATAGCATAGGCATAGTTACTCCTAGATCATTCCTGACGGATGCTTATACAACCTCTTCTTGAACAGCTGCCTTTGTCAGCATTAAACTTCATCCTGTTAGCTCCATCCCAGCTTTCCAGTCTGTCAAGATCTTTTTGAATTGAGCTTCTTTCCTCCAGTGTATTTGCAATCCTTCCCATTTCATGTCGTCTGCAGATTTAGAATCATAGAATCAATGGATCGGA